TTAAAGCAGTCCCTTTAACATTATTTGCAATACTTATTTCATGATAATGAACTCTTTTAGGCTTTTTTTGGTCTGAGAAGCTCTTTACTTTGCTTTCAATTTTAAATGATAGCATTGCTGGATAGAGTAGTCTTTGTTTTTCATTACTTTGAATACTTCATCCAATTCCTCCTGGCCTGAAGTGTTTCTGTTGAGAAATCTGCTGACAGCTTAATGGGAGTTTCCTTGTTAGTAACTAACTGTGCCTCTCTTGGTGCTTTTAAGATCCTCCCTTTGCCTTTAACCTTTGCCATTTTAATTATGATGTGTCTTGGTGTGGGTCTCTTTGTTCATCTTGATTGGGACTCTCTGTGCTTCCTGAACTTTTGTGACTTTTTCTTTCACCAGGTTAAGGAAATTTTCTGCCATTATTTCTTCAAATACCTTCTCTATCCCTTGCCCACTTCCTGGCACCACTATGATGCAGATGTTGTTACATTTCATGTTGTCCCAACATTTCCTTAAACTATACTCATTCTTTTTAATTCATTTTCTTTTTGCTGCTCTGATTGGATTTTTTTCCCCTACATTGTCTTCCAAATTTGTTATTCAGTTGTCTGCTTTATTCAACCTGCTTTTTATTCCTTCCAGTGTATCCTTGATATCAGATATGGTATTCTTCATTTCAGACTGGTTCTTACTCATGGTTTCTATATCCTTTTTCATGCTGTTGTAGGCATCACTAAGTTCCTTGTGTATCATTTTAAAAAAATCTTCACCCATGGATATATTATTTATCTACCTATCTATTTATTTTAGAGATTGAAGAATGTCCTCTCTCTGAGCTGCTCTCCCTTCCCCCATGGAACTACACTCAGTGGTGATATATGGGACTTGGCAGGGCTGATCCAAACAGCCTCCTGTTGCGGGTGGTGCCCACAAACTATAAGAGGGGATGGGTTCCTCTTCTCCTTCCTAGGATAGTGTAGTCTGAACTCAGAGGGGAACCTGGATTTGCCTCCCTGCAGCGTAGTCACACAGCCCTGTACTCGCCCATCTGGCTCCTGGACAGAACCCTCTCTGGGAGACACAGTCCCAAAAACCCAGCCCTGCACTGCTTCCTGCACCACTGCTTATGCTGCTGAACCAAACAGGGCAGGGCCAAAGGTCAGCCCTGCGAGGCATTCTCATCTCCACGTGCTGGTGTGAGCAGGGTGGGGCCAAAAGCCTCAACTCCGCTCAAGCTCCAAACCCACCCACTAGGAGAGGGTAAAAAGTCCCAGCCCTGTGCAGCACCCCTGTGCTGCTGAACCCAGCAGGATGGGGCAGGCCTAGGGGCTCCACAGGTGGGGGAGTGGTGCCAGCTGTACACTTGAGGTTGGGGAAATTTTCCTCTTTCCCAAGCCACAAAGTTTAGTCACTGTCTAGGTTTCTGCCAAAAGCCTCACCAGAAAACAGAGGGCCCTTTAAAGTCACTGCTAGGTGTAGCCAGCAAATCTCTCCATAGGACACAAATAGAGCAGTGTAGCCTCTCCATCAGCCAGAGTCCAGGGTGAGCTCCCTGTGCTGGCGCTGTAGCTTAAGGAGTGCTCTTTCCTTGAGAGGGTGCAGTCCAAGTCTCCCAGGCAGTCCGAATCCCTATTGACTCCCACTGCCAGACACCATGTAGGCTCCTCTTCCTGTCTCTGCTCTGAGTTGGGGATTCCTGCATGGGGTTGAGTCCACATGCCCCTGCTGGGAGGGAGCTCTGCAGCTGCAGTATCCCTCCAGCTTCTCAGCAGCCACCACACCTGCATGAGGGAGCGCTCCCTTTCCACTTCTCCACCCTTCCTACCTGTCTTTATGTGACTTCTTCTGTAGATCTTTGTTTTTAATATTTCAGTTTCACTAGCCTTCAATTGGTTTTTCAGGTCGATTGTTCTGTAATTTAGCTGTAAATCTGGTTTCGGGCTGGGAACAAGTGGACACAGCTTCCAGCTACTTTGCAGCCATCTTGGAATCTATCCTATAATTTCTACTTTACGTTAAATACTCGTGCTCTATTAAAACCACATGTTTTGTGAAAAAGATACAAAAGCTTTTTGCAGCTCTTTCACCCCCATATATGCCAGTAACTCCTCCCACTATTTTCCCTTACTTAAATATCAAGATAGTGTGGTAGTTAAAAGGTGGCATAAATTTTTGAAAGAAATGTGTGTAAGCTCACTACATCATATTTGCAAGTAGCAGTTGAGATGTGGAAATGGAATTTGCTATTTAGGTATAGCTATTGCTATAAATGGAATGTCTGTGTTCCCTTAAAATACCTATGTTGAAAACCTAATGCCTAAGGTGATGGTATTAACAGGTGGGGCCTCTGATGGGTGATTAGGTCATGAGGGCAGAACTTCATGAATAAGATTAGTGCTCTTATAAAGAGGCCCTGGAGAGATCTCTGGCCCCTTCCCCCATGTGAGGACACAGTGAGAAGATGGCCCTCTGCAACCATGAAGAGGGCTCTCACCAGAACCCAACCATGCTGCACCCTGATCTCGGACTTCCCAGCTTCCAGAACTGTAAATTTCTGTTGTTTATAAGCCACCCAGTTGCTATGGTATTTCTGTTATGGCAGACCAAATGGGCTCAGACAGCTATGTTTTGAATAAAAGTATTTAAAAATATGATCAGTACAGATCTAAGGTAGCTGAGCCATTTTGGCCAAATAACCAGGATGATACCATCAGTTTTCTTCATAAATATTTACTGGTTTTGGTTTTACCCATATGGTAAAAATATATTGTCACGATATTTGTTTCAATAAAGAAAAACATATTCTTTCTTTTCTTTTGGTGCCTCAGTTCTGCATGCCATGAAGATAGAAGTATCTGCATTCAGGAGACAATGAGGCATTTTGTTTATCAATGGTAGGAATGCACTGTAGATATCTCAAATGAAAACTGAAGTCACAGAGATTATTCAAATTCTTCTTCACTAAAAAAGAAAAATGAGTGTTTATTTGAACTTCGTTAACACTGTGATGAAGAAGCATCATTGAAAAGAAGCCATAAGTCATTTACTACTTTGTCAGCCCCTCACTTTCAGACTATTAATGAGGCAAGTCATCTTTTTATTCTTGCATATTCATAAAATACATAAAAGGAAATTCAGAGGCTTATTGTCCAGGTCGTTTTTGCATGGTGATGTTGAGTGTTTATTCTCTAATGTCATAAGCAGTATATATAAATACAACTTTTAAAGGGAGAAGGGATCATTTTCTCTGCTACTCTCGCCTGTTGTTTAGTTTCTAACTTTTCGTTCACCTGAGTTTATAATCCACATGTAGAACTGAAAATTATTGCTTGTTAAGAAGGAGATAAATGTACTGTGGTAGGTAAATGGTAGACTTTGTGGTTGCTGTTGTCTGTTTACTTGAAAACAGTTACTTTTTATGAAAGATTTTATCAATACTTGCAGGTGGTAAGAAATCAACAGTGTGATTAAAAACAAGAGCTACCCCATCCATTTCTAAGAACAACCTCTTTTAATCATTCTTGCTTTGTTCTTTTTCTATTTCCCTCTATTATTACTAAAAATTATGGAGGTAACTTTATATAATATAATACATCAGTTTCCAAATTTATCACCTTAATATAATTTCACTGATTCTAACATAAAAAAATGAGGATTTATCTAATTTATATTGCCTTCTTTCTTTCTTCTCTCAATTCTTAATATTTATATTTTGGTTTATAGTTATGTTGTTTTGGCAATTCTATTGATTTCTATTGTGGGATTTGGGGATAAGAATTATTTTCCCTTAGAAGAGACTGGTCCATTGCCTTCTAGCATTCAGTATTGGTGATGGGACATCATAAGTTAGTTCAATTCTCGTTTCTTTATAGGTGACTTTGAAGTGGTCCTCTGGTAGCTTTTAGAACATTCCACTTGTCTAGATGTTTGAAATTCAATATGATATGACCAGGTTTAGATCTTTTTTCATTCATTGGGCTGTGCACTCTGGCTCTCTTCAGTCTGTTGACATGGATTCTTCTATAGTTCTGGAAAATTTTCTTTGGCTATTTCTTTGATTATTTCCTCCTGTTTTCTGTGTTTCTCTGTCTGCTTTTACATTGGTCATAGGTTGCACCTCAATGACACTTATGGAATACCTTCTTTCTATTGGGCATTGTGACACTTTAGAAGTCAACAGAGCCATGAATGCCTGGACAGTGCTTGCCCTTGAGAATTGCATCAATTCATGAGTTTTTGTATAGAGTCAGAATCAAGAAAACTCATGCTATTTTTAAAGTGTGTAACCCACAAGGAACATACTAAGTGAACAGGCTTTATTTATAAGTTCTTTATTGCTGCTTACTTTTTACTTATTCACTTGTATTATTACTCACTGTTTATCTTTTACCAAATAACTTTTAGTTGCCTTTAAATCTTTCTGGTAAAGACAGATAGAATATTTTTACTTTAGTAGCACTACTGCAGCTAAATTTTATGTTGGTCATCCAAATAATTCAACATGGCCTCTGAGGAAAAAATATTTTGTACATCACTTATGGTTTTATCACAGGCAATAAAAACCTATTTTGCCTTAACTTCCCCCCAAAAAACAAACACTTTATTGGCAGAATCAAAGGAAGATATGAACAATAAGTGTCCAGAAGATGAAGTAATAGGGCAGCTTTGCTAATTTCTGTGGTAGGAATGAATAAACAGTTTCTCTTTAGAGTGCTGACCTCACAATAATTCTCCTCTATAGAGGAGAAATTTCTGTTGTTACTTTCTGTTTAAGATTCAGGCTTTAAGGAGAGAAACCATTGGTTTAGCTTTATTCACAAGCTCACTTTTTGGGAAGAGATGGGACTACAACTGATAATTTCATGATGAGCACAAAGAATGGTGAAACAGTACTTCCCAGAGGAAAGACAGCTTTATCATCAAAAATTGGACAAAAACAGCAGGTATCCACTCTGTCTTGTGCTGAGGAGCCAAAGTTCAGCTCTAACCCACTGGTTTCTTTCTCATGCTAGTGCTGCCGCCTGTATTGGTGCCGAGACACAGTGAATATAACCCCCAGCTCAGCCTTCTGGCCAAGTTCCGCAGTGCCTCCCTCTACAGTGAGCCACTCATGCCGCACAACGCCACTTATCCTGACTCTTTCCAGCAGCCTCCGTGCTCTGCATTCCCTCCCTCACCAGGGCAAGCATTCTTGCAGTCCTCGTGCATGGCCAGCCACCCTCACTCCCCAGGAAGCCCTTCCGAGCCAGAAAACTCCTATCAACACTCAGGTCAGTAAAAGCTGCCAGTCTTTGTGGAATACAACTCAACACATTTATGGTGTGACCATCATAATTTTAATCACTGTAACTGACATTCATGTGGAGCTTTATAGTTCACATGGCAATCTCCTGTGGGCTCTTGGACCCTGCCCTGCCTCTAAGATGGTCGACATGTCTTTGCTCTGGTTTTTGGTTCTAATCCCCTGGAAGCTCTCAGAAACTAAGTGGATTTGATAGCATTTCAAGGGATTTTTTTTTTAAAAAGGCAATAGCAATAAGATTATAAAAGATTGTTCTAGACTCAGCGGACAGACTTGGCCTGAGGGCAAGCGGTGTGATTGCTGCTTTCAACAATCAAAGGGTGTCCTTCCTACAAAAGATGTGTAGGACAGAGGGAGGCCCCAATTCCAGGCAGTGCATTCTCTCTTTTTTCTATGGGATGCAAGCACAGCATCTGAAGGTAGACCAAGTCAATTTTTTTTTTTTAATATATCTTTATTGATTTCAGAGAGAGGAAGGGAGAGGGAGAGATAGAGATAGAAACATCAACAATGAGAGAGTCATTGATCGGCTGCAGCCCGCAACCCGGGCATGTGCCCTGACCAGGAATCGAACCCTGATCGCCTGGATCCTAGGTCGATGCTCAACCGCTGAGCCATGCCTGGCTGGGCAGACCTAGTCAATTGATATTTGCTGAATTGAAAAAGCATGTAGAATGGAGAGGGAGAACCAAGCCCATTGTGAGAATTGCATGTACTATCACACCTATAAAGTGGGCATAAGTTAGATAATGAAAAAAAGATTTTATTTACCTCATGATGTGAGAAAATTATATCCTGAGCGAACAAGTTCCTACAGGCATGCATAAATGCATTTGGTCCTAGATGTTGTGACCTGCCTCATTCATTTCTTCATATATTTATTTATTTAATGGATATTGAACTCATACTATATGCAAGCATTGCCTTAGGGTGCCTAAAGGAAAATGAAAAGATTAATAAAAATTGTCCTGCCCTCAAAGAATTCATAAAATGTGGGAAGGTAAAGAAGTTGCCTCCTCCCCTTTGAGTTATTCCGTTCTTCCTTTTGCCCACTCTGCAGTACATCTATTTTACATATACATCTACTATTTAACTTTATCACACTGTATTATATAATTTTGTGTGTGTCTGTCAGTAATTTTATCTTTTGTATGCCTAGTTTAGAGCCTAAAATGCAGAAGTTGCTGATTAGTTAATAACACTCACATTTGGAACTTGGGAGAAGAGCTTGGGGTCATAGATCCAGATTTTATTGAGTCAGTAAGTAATGACTGAGCACCTGCTAAGTACCAGGCACTGTGCTAGTGCTAGAAGTACAATGGTTGATTACAATGGTCTCTCACCTTCCAGAGGCAATGACTATTGAGCACAATCATGTAAATAAGTGACAAGTGTGATAAAGGTCTTAGCAATCCAGGCAAGTAATTATAAGGACTTGAACTAAAGAAGGGTTATGGGGACAGAAAAAAGGCAATGAATTTGAGGTGGCAGAATCACCAGGACCTGATGTGGGGGTGAAGGCTGAGATGTGGCAGGAGTCATTTACAGACTGGAGGAGGCCGTTGTAGTCTTGCAAGTGGCTATATTCACTGAGAAAGGGACAGCAACAGAAAGAGAACTCATTTGAGGACAGAGCCCCAGTTAAGGTATTAGAGGATAATTATGTTGCAAAATATACATTTACATAAAACACATTTGTGCTATAAAGATTTCCTGTATTAGGTTTGTGTTCCTGCACTTGTTAAACTAACAGGTTGATTTCTTTTTCTTCTTCCCTCCCATGAAGGACAGACGCCAAGATCTATGCAGAAGCTGGTTAGTTTCTCACAAAGGGAACAGCATTTTTAATTTCAAAGAAAATAATTCTTTTCTGAATGATTAACAACAAAATGCCAACCTAAGTAACAGATCTAAGGCTAAATAACAATAGAAGGAATTTTTGAGATTAACTGGCTCAGCTCCTTAAACTTTTTAAATAGCCTTATTGAGATATAATTCATATGTCAAAAAACTCAACCATTTAAAGTGTACAATTCAATGTTTTTTCATATGTTGTATTATATTTTTTAAGTTGCTACAGGCATGTGATAAAATACATATCATGTAAAATTTGCAGTTTTAACCATTTTTAAGTAACATTAAGTATATTCACAATGTCGCACAACCATCACCACATCTATTTCTAAAATAGTTTCATCACCCTAAACAGAGAGTCTGTACTCATTAAACAATAAGTTCTCATTCCCTGCCTTCCTCCAGCCCCTGGGTAACCTCTAATCTACTTTCTGTCTCTATATATTGAATTTGCCTATTCTAAGGTACCTCATATAAATGGAATCAGTAATATTTGTCTTTGTGTGTCTGGCTTATTTAAGTTAGCATAGTGTTTTCACAGTTCATCTATGTTGTAGCATTTATCAGTTACTTCATTTGTGTGACTGAACAATATTCCATTATATGGATATACCACATTTAAAAAAATCCATTTATTGGTTTATGGATATTTGTGTTCTTTCCATCTTTTGGCTATTGTGAATAATGCTGCTATGAAGATTGATGTCCAAGTATCTGTTTGAGTCCCTGCTTTTATGTGGGAATATACCTAATTGTGGAACAGCTGGGTCACACGGTAACACTTTATATTAAGCCCCTTAATTTTATAGATAGATTTACTCCAGGACCTGCAGAAGGGTGACTTTGCTTTATAACTTTTTCACCAGCATTATAGTTCATTTTCTCAAAGGGAAATGCCTTATCCATGGTTATTCGGTGTGGTCACTTCACCACCTGCAGCGCCTGCTAAAACATACATACATGGCTGTATCCAACCACTGATATATAGACTAAGAATTCCTGGGGGTTGGGCCAGGAACCTGCATTTATTTATTATTTATTTATTTATTTATTTATTTATTTATTTATTTATTTATAATATGTTTTTATTAATTTTAGGGAGAGAAGGAGGGAGGGAGGGGGGAGAGAGAGGGAGAGAGTGAAAGAGAGAGAGAGAGTGTGAGAGAGAAACATCAATTGGCTGCCTCCCATGCATACCCTGACTGGAGTTTGGACCCACAACCTACACATGTGCCCTGACCTGGAATCAAATCAGTGACGTTGTGGTGCACAGGACAATGCTTAACCAACTGAGCCACACCAGTTGGGGCAGAATCTGCATTTTTAACAAATTCCACTGGTGATTTCTATGCACATTTAAGTGTAAAAACTATTTGAATGGACAATTCAACCAAAGCAGACTGATCCAAATTTTTAGGCTATTGATTATATAACAAATTGACATTAGGAATGTATACAGAAGGAAGCAGTTATTCTGAGGTCCTCTCTAAAGAGCTTTTCTTCTGCCTCAGGAGTTTTTATTGTGTAATGAATTCATTTTTGATAAGATATTATCTACCTGATTGCATACCATTTTCTTAACCATGATCACTGTCCATAGGACTGATATTTGGGGAGAAGAACCCTTTTCAGTGTGCCTTGGGTTCAAGGTTATAATCAGGTTTCAGCTGTCCTGTGTTTTAGGGGCATATTTGAACTATCTCAGAGACAGGACATTGCTGTGGCCATTGTACAACCCATGACAACAGAGGAACTGAAAATTAAGCTTAGTTCAAAGAAGGTTTGGCTTTGTTATGAAAGCCAGAAAACAACAGACTCTTCTGCTGTTGAGAAAAGCTAGGAGAACAGCTGCTAGGCTTGAAAATCTTGTGAAGCCATTTGAACTCAATGATAACTCATAAGTCAGAGGGAAAACTAATCAATGCTTTGGTGAGGAGTTTAGGACAGCCCACTTCCCCTGCAGGACACTCACAATGTTACTTCATAATAGCTTTATTATGTTACCGGTCTCTCTACTAAAAACACAATCCACCAAGCTAAGGAGTTAATGGTCAAAAAGGTTGGGTCAGATTGTCTTTGTGTAGTTTATCAGTCTGACATTCCTTTGTTGTGCTGCTTTCTTGTAGTCAACACACCAGCCCTGTCTTATCTTGCCACAGAAACCCCAGGGAAGCAGAATGGCTGACTTATAGATGCCACAGCTGATAGTCATTTAGTGCTATCAATGCCTAATGGAGGTAAATTTGCAGACAAAAGTGTAGCTATTTTCCGGGAGTGTTTCCTATTATCCCAAAATAAAGCAAATCAAAAACCAAAACCAAACCAAATGTGCTGGCCTTCTATTTCCCAAGTGTTTTAAGAGGAGCTGATAGCATGACTATTTTTGCATTTTAACTGGCATTCCTCAGTATGATAGAGTGGACATTTTGTTTATCATCCTGTTTACTAGAATAAGTTAATTTTTTATTTTAACTTAACATTTAGAGTTTTGTAGTTCTTGCTGTTTATTATGGAATTGGATATTAAGAAGTTAGCAATTTTTTTCCCATTTCTGTTTTTACTATAGATTTAGAGTGGTGTCTTTCATTGGCTTTAGAAGGGTGCTCTTAGAAATAGATGTAAATAGGGTTTTTACAAAATTTTGTTTGTGTCTTACAAGAGGTTAGAAAAATGCTGCTCTACTTTAATGTTCAGATAGAGCAAGGGGTGATCTTGTATAAATAAGATTTTGATACCCTGGATCTGGGTTGGGGGGTCAAGAATTTGCATTCTTAACAAGTTCCCAGGTGATGCAGGCCTGCAGTTCTATGAACCACACTGAGTGGGGAGGGTCCAAAGAAGTTTACTACTTAAAGTATTCCCAAGTGAATTCTAAGTTAAAGATTTTTTGTAAATCAGATAACCCCCTAATTTACCTGTTTTATAAATTTGTATTCAGTGCATAATAGAACACACTCTAAATACAAGAATTTCAAGGATATTCAAAGAAAAGGAAGATTATACAATCAACAGGCCGAGAATGAGTGTGGGTGACAAAGAAAGAAAGAACTCTGAACTTTTCTTGGTCACTTAACTGAAAGTTTGGGGTGAAAACATAACATTCATGTATTTCCTAATGAAATATACAGCTCTACTTAAAATATTTTTATGTTATAACTAACTATTCTATATGTACATTAAAGAAAATGTGAGTTTATTTAGGTAGACTTTTCTTTCTCAAATAATTTAAAATTCTATCCATTGTCTCTGATTTGGTTTTGTCATATCCAAACTATTTTACTTCATCTTTAGTTTGTTAGAAAACGGTACTCTTTGCCACAGGGACTCAGTTTGGCATACAGTAACAGTAATATGCTATTTTTCACATGTGGAGATGAAGTGACCTGCCAGTTTCCTTTAAGCTGTGTTTCCTTTAGGGGTGATGAAGTTTACATGGATCCACTCATATCCTTGTTTGCTTGGCCCCCTCAATACTCATAAATATGGGTACAAATACTGTAACTATGGGAGAATCACTAGGTCCGTGGCCTCTACCACAGATGCATTGCCCAGATAAGCTTACCACAAACAGTTTTCATTAAAGTGACAGATTTGAAATGATTATAAAGCAGCTCACTTGGTCTTGCAGCCAACTTTTTGCTTAACAACATTAATCTATATTTCCTGATGGAATCAGGAGATGGGAAGCCAAAGCACAATGGTAGTGATGTGCTATCCGGTTCATTTTCTTTCAGACTTTCGGCCAGTTTGCTACGAGGAGCCACAGCACTGGTGCTCAGTTGCCTACTATGAACTGAACAACCGAGTTGGTGAGATGTTCCAGGCTTCCTCCCGAAGTATACTTATAGATGGATTCACAGACCCTTCAAATAACAGGAACAGATTCTGTCTTGGACTTCTTTCTAATGTAAACAGAAACTCAACAATAGAAAATACCAGGAGACATATAGGAAAGGGTAAAAGAAATATGTAATTTATTTTTCTGTTCTTCTGAGCTAAAACATGGGGGAAAAAACAGGCCTTGCATTGGCTTGTAACATATTGGGATGGCACAGGGCTGGGCCTCACTGCCTACAAAGTGGGGATGGCATCTTCTGTGGGGTGGCATAGGGTTCATATTATGAAAACAAATAAGATGATAAATATGAATGCAGGATGAAATTATTGATGAAAAGGATTGTGAATTATTTTTGAGTTGCCCAAAGATGCTTAATAAGATAACTTCTGAAGAAGAAGAATTCTGGCTAGCTGATTATTTACATGAGGTAAAGTTACTTTTGGAGACTTAGAAACTAGGGAGTTATACATCCTGACTTATTTATGTTTGGAAGTGATTGGGGCTGTCCTATATCCAGGCATTGTTACAACAGCCCATGGGCACGGGCCTCACTGGGACTGGTCAGTGATATTTTTGAAGCTTCCTTTATTGGCAGAATTCAATGGTTGCAAATCCCAGTGAAGCCTGGTTGAGGATCTTTAAATCATTTTATTTTATTTTTTTATTTTTTAAATCATTTTCTTTTCTCTTTTCTTTTCTTTTCTCTTTTCTTTTCTTTTCTTTTCTTTTCTTTTCTTTTCTTTTCTTTTCTTTTCTTTTCTTTTCTTTTCTTCTTTTCTTTTTTTTCCTGTTCTTTTCTTTTGTAGTATCTGAGTTACTCCTGGCTGTCCACTGTCGTGTCAGACTCTACTTGATTCACAGGTGTACAGAACCTTCAGAGTCATTTGATCTTTTCTCTCCCCATCCAGCACTTAGACCACCTCAGAAAAAGAGTCACATGAGCCTTTTCTTTCAGATTTCCAGGGGAGATTCATTATTTCACTTAGTTATGCATTCTAATATTCTTCTTAACATACCTTCTAAGTGTCTCCTGTTGTAGTAAATGTACAAGCCATTGATTAGAAACAGGTTGAATTCATTCATTGATGTTGACTCTTAATGGTTACAACTGTAACTACTTTACATTTATTTATATCCTGTATTTTCCCATATGGCTTTGAAGTGGTTTCCAAGAAACCTTTGCAGTTAAGTGATAAATGAAAAATAGAAAATCAGAAACTGGAGTCGAGGGGGAGAAAAATACAAGCATGTCATCCTTAGGGTTAGCATTGTGATTGTGATTAAAATTTCATTCTATATTTCCTTGACAGGGAGGTCAAAAAAGGGACACTCAATCTGTAATGTAATTTTTATTTCAAAGGGGGAGATATAACAAGTCCTCAATAGAAATAATACTTTTACTTTGATTGAATTTTTAAACAAATTTCTCAGGTATGGCTTTACTTTCAAGTGTTTTTTTAATAAGAATCTTCAAGTAAAATCTAAAGGCAGAACATTAAAATGTAGTGTTGTGGAGCTGTTTGCTGAGGAGCTTTGCAGATTTGTCTACCTATTAGTCTTCTACTGATGCCACTTGATCAAAAGATAGAGTTAAAATATTGAAGGAGTATTTAATGCATTCTGGGAACTGTTCTGCAAGTATGTTATTTAAGGTGCTGCTGTATAGACATGGAGAGTTGATGTTCTCTGTTGTTGGCTGAGAGCTGACCCACAGGGTTAAGAAACCATAGGAGCAGGAGCTTAAGAAAGCTTAACTAAGGGGTTACTTGGATGGAAGGGCAGTCCACTCTCACTTGGTACATGGATAACACCCAGATAACTGAGCCACACTGGCTAGGGTTGGCTTGGAATAGTTTTAAAGCAAGAGGTATCAGTCTTCTATGGGGTCAGAGGACTGTTTTTCAGGTACTCCTGTGGATTATTTGGTTCAGAACGGCATGGCTTCCTGGAGCACAAGCCTGAATAAATTTGCAATACAGTGCACTCTTAAATTAGTGAATAAATCAACTTGCTCTGTGAGTTAATTAATAGAGACTTAGATTTCAGAGATATACATTCATCTCTCAAAAATTTATTGAGCATCTACTCTTAGCCAGATTATTCTGCCACTAAGGATGCAGCAGTGGGAAACAAACCAAACAAAGATGACAAAAATTTCCTGCCTTTGTGAATCACGAATTACTAAGAAAAGACAGAAAAGAAATATATATAATATGTCAAATGATAAGTGTTTAGAGATAAACAAAAGAGGGGAAGAGGGTGGTGAAGGGTATGTTATAATTTAGAACAGGGTAGCCAGGGAAGTCCTTCCTTAGAAGGTAACATTGGAACAGGGAGCTAAAGTGGGAATTAGCAGTGTGAATATCTGGGGGAACACTTTCCAAGCACAGGGAACAGCAGGTGCAAAGGCCCGGAAACCTTCCTGGCGTCCTGTAGAAACAGGCAGGAAACTAGGGAGAGTAGAACAGAGTGAGTAAGCAGGTCATAGGTGAGGCAGAACCAGATCTTGTCTGCTTTGTGTGGCATACTGGAGAAACCAGAGGGAAGCCAGGGAGAGTGGAACAGAGTGAGTAAGCAGGTGGGAAAGTCATAGAAGGAGAGGCAGAACGAGACCCTGTATGATTTGAGTGCTTCCACTGTGATGCTGTGAGAAATGGGAAGGTAGATTTAAATTGAGTTTACTGATCTGAGTTTTCACTTTAAAAGGATCGGCTGGGTGCTATATTAATATTAAACTGTAGAAGAGGGGTAAGGGTGAAAGGTTTCTATCCCAGCCATTTCTCCCCTCAATAGTTATCAATTAGCTTTGAGACCATGTCTGGTTTGTGTTCCTTGCCACTAAAGTTAGCTTAGATGGCTGATCCTCCTAAGGAAGTTAATGCCACTACCCTCTCAGCAGAGCATGTACTTCGACTTGTTTTCTCTAGTGGTCAATACCACTATGCTGACTCTCTCATACATGCTCTTTCACCCTGCTTTCTGTGAGATGGTGAGACTAGTACAAAGTATTTATTTATTGCCTTGCAACAGTTAGCTGGTGCAAAAGGAATCAAACCTATTACTTTGACCTCACTAGAAAAGTGCTTTAAATTGTCATTAGCAAGTTAGTGCTAGCATACCAGAGACTACCAATTAAATATCAGAGGCAATACCCTGAAGACCCTGGAACAATGCATTCTAATATAAAGTCTATCCATATTTTTCCCTGAAAACTAGGCAAACCACTTGAACTCTTTCAAATGATTGATATCTACCCCCACTGATTACCTAATCTGTGTAAGACATGCTACCATACACTTGCATGTATTATTTTTATATTAACCTTATAAGTTAGGTTTTCTTAGTGCCATTTCACAGATGAGACAACTGAAGCTCAGAGTTCAGTAGCTTACACATGATCACATGAGTGATGCCAGGGAATTGCACCCGTGGCTGTTTCCCAGACCCAGTTGCTCCCCTCTACTGGAAGGGAGGGAACCCTCCTTCCTTTTTATCTTGATACCCCTCATAATGCATTGTGTGAAGAACTGAACCTTTCTATATGTAATGAAAATACCTAGCATATGCCACAGCAGTGGTAACTCATAGTCAACTCTGAGATGTTGAAATAAGGCCCTACTAAAAATAAAGGCTTGAATTTTACAGTGATTTACTTTAAAAATGTTGATTAGAGGAAATTTTATGTTTTCCTTAAAAAAATATTCTAGAAAAGGAGTACTGCACTGAAAGTTACACAGAAGCCCATAGGAGAATAATAAGGATCTTTATAGAAAAAAGAACTACTGACATACAACACCTACATATGACTGCCAAAAATAAAGCAAAGGTCATTTCTTGTGATTTAGTAATGATGGAATAAATATGCAGTCTAGGTAATTGGAGTATAATAGTAGCCTGCTTTTTTACAATGGTTTTTAGGATGGCACCTATTTCCAAATAATTAAGAAAAGCACATTTGGAATTGACTGAATGAACAGAGATGTGCTCTTAAGATAATCGAGGTAGGGTTGTATATATTATTAGAAAGGCATGACTTAAGATAATCATAATCAATAGTACAATCATCGAGATTCCAAGATAGTGGCTGATTAAGTGGAAGCTACACTGACACTCTCCCAGGACCAAATTGGAATTATAACTAAAATATAGAAAAATCATGGTGAATAAACAACTGAAGACTAGCTGTAGAGGACCTTTATGACTAAGGACCTAAAGTGGAGACTGCATAGAGACCAGTAGGAATTGCAGAGGCACAAGGACTGGCTGGGCTCTCATAGACAACAGCTGAAAGTCTAGAGGGATAGTTCAATTGTGGGAGGTTTCCACTGAGATCTCTGGATCTAAACTGCAAGCTGGGATCCCCACCCCAGAGCACCAGAACTGAGAAAGGTACCCACATAACATGGCTGTGCAAAGCAGCTGGGTTTATATCTCCCAGGGAAAGGTGGCAAGAAATGCAGGGACCCTCTTAAAGGGTCAAGGCACGAAGTTTTGTGTGTAGCCACTCAACTTGGACTCCGGAAGAGAGAGGGCAAAGGGGACCAGAGCCATGTGAGGGATCTAGGGTTGTGGGCTCTAGAGATAGAGCTCACAGGACACATGTCTGGATTCCTGTACTGAGTCATTCCCCTTTATGGCAGAAGACACCTTTTACAGACAGACATTTAACATCCAGGCAGCCTAGGGGGGAAGCAGTTGCCCAGCCCACTGGAAAACCTCTTACCCCACCCTGTGGAGTTTAGACCTTGCTGTGGTCTACAGCCTGAAGCTCATTAGGAGACTAAGAATAATAATCAGTCTTTGAGTGCTTTGAGTCTTTGCCTGATTTGCTTCTAGACCCAGGACTTGGAAAAGCAGACCTTGGTGCATGTGTTGGTCCTTTCCTAATGCACCCAGCCTCAGCAGAGAGAGCCACAAGCTGTGGATCACTGATAGCTCAAAACAGGGTATCCAAGGCCAGTCACAAATAGCATCTGACAACGGCCTGCACCAGAGACCATCCAAAAGACTGGAAGACCTAGAAGATCTACCCAATACATAGAAACAGACCTGAACAGGCACCCAAAATGGGGAGACAAAAAACAAACCCCAAATGAAAGAACAAGAGAAGTCTCCAGA